ATTTGTGCGCATCATGATATGAAACAAGTACTTTCTCTACGTCAACATTTCGAAAATCTGGCCTAAAATATTTAACGTCAGGATGATTAGGTTTGCACGGAGTGACATAGAAATAAGTTGATCTCTTCGAAATTGCTTAGGGTTTCGTCACCTGTTAACAAGTCGATATACGAGCAAATTTATAAACCAAGAAACGCGGATATATGAGTGTAGATTGAAGGACAAAAATCCAGCTGTAGGTATTTGGATATTACAGCATACGAGGCGAGTGAGAATTAGTAAATGAAAGGAATTACAGGGAAAAATGAACAGGAATCATTGAGTTAAAGGAGAATTCGAAAAAGAAATTCGTGTTTTATTTCCGCACATATTTCATGAAATGTATGAATTATGACCTGATCTTTTTTTTAATTGTAAAAATGCACCTCTGTCCCCACAATTTTTCTAAAAATCTTTACAAAAACCCGTGGAGCTCACTTATCCTAAAAAAGTATGTATACAATAAACTAAATATTCCAAATTCGCCGTTCTCAAAATATAGAATTTCAAAGTCTAAAGTTTCAAACATTATTCAAAAACCTTCAGGTATATTATAAAGCTTTATTTTTATAAGCCTTTTTACAATGCAATTTTTCAGTAAATAAATCGTGGAAATATCAGCTGAATTCACACAGTAATTGAAGATTTGATGAACTCATAGCCATTTCTGATATTTATTACATGATGTACCTGAGCGAGTGGATCAGATGAATTGATCATCCGATCATAAAAATCTTAGTATGTCACTTGATGCTATGTCAGATAGTATCTTACCATCTCACACCATGTGTCGGTTAAAAATCATTACGAACTCAGCACTGATCTGTCAGAATTGAGAAAATGTCAAATAATGGGGGAAATCACGCATCTTCGTCGTTAATATTGGAAAAGTGCATCTATAGATCAAGATAATTTGGGACGAATGGCGTCGACTGTTGAAGTCGAAGTTATACGTGTTTTTTTCTTTCTATATTCTTCCGGAAAGCTGAGTCAGATTCTGACAAGAGACGGTCGACAGAATTCGCCGCGTCGCCTGGAAAGCAATCAGCAGCACGTGTCGGAGCTGCAGAAAACTGCAAACAAGTTGCAAGAACTCTGCATGAAATTGGCAGAAAAGGACATTTCTGCGTCAGACGCGAGCAGGTGCGATGCTTCCGAGCCCCAGTCGTGTTTCTGCTGCTCGTCGCGGAACGGAGTCTCGGGTGAACATCAGATGCTCAAGGGCGGGATCAGAAGTGGGTCCAAGATCCTCGTCAAGTTCTCTTCGGACACTCGTCAGTGTCGGTCACAATGTCACGGCCTCGGGAACGTCATTGACGGATGCGTCGAGAAAGAATCTCGAGTTTCGTACAAGGCTTGTTCCTGGGAACGCTGCCATTCCGATAAACCTGAAGGTCTGCATCTTCACTATAATGAGAATAAATACCGTTTTAGGGGAATGACTTCTATATAGCAACACTTGAGAATCCCTCGCACATTTTCCCACCAAGAATGGAAGCATGTTCTTCAGAATTCAGTTGCAAGTTATCATCTGGCCACGATAGAGTCGAGATAAATTCAAAAAGTTTGAAATGAACGATGCACGTTATTATGAAAGCGAATTTGTTTTTACAAATTTTAATGCGTATATCTATCTATCTTCAAACGTTATTGGATTGAATCATTTTTAATGTGATGGTTCTAACTGTTCAGGAGGGTGCCATATGAAAAAAAATTATTTGCACAATGATCGAAGTGGACATACCTGAGCAAATTCAAAATTTGGAGAAAATTCTCATAAGAATGTATTATCGAAGTCAGTTCTACCGGTAAGAATGTGACAGGGATGTACGCCCTTCAGTATAGAAAACGTTGTATGATGAATAATAGTACAGTGATAACAATTAATCTGAGGTTAAAGAAGACCAAATCATTCGAAACGTTAATTTCAAAATTATTGTAGTATTCATAATGCCGTTGTGTAATTTCCGATTTAAAAATTTTAAATTTCAAGGAATTTCTAAATTTGAAATAACAAGAAAATTCAAAATTTGAAATAACAAGAAAATTCAAAATATTTTACATCAGGATACGCCTACATTGTAAGAATATTTGGTAAAAAAGGTATTGGTATTTGAATTTGACCTCGGATTGATTTTGCAATTCATCACTATTCTTTAGGACTTGCTTTGAATTTCCTAATTATATCTTGCCGGTGCACCTTGAAAAAAAATTGCAAATGGATTTTGGTAGGTTATCTCCCATCGATGTGTCTCATTGAAATTATCCGTTAAGAGAGAAGAATTCAGAGGGTACATTACCCTTTCTTTCACAACTCATCTAGATAGTCTAGAACTCAAGATTATTTCTAATATCTACAGCTCAAGAGTATAGTCCTTTAGTCCACGGAGCAACTAATGAAACTCATCGCTGCCAAGAAATGATTTTGGAATATGAAAATATCTCAAATATTTGGCACATATCATTGGATCATTCAGACAATGATTTCAGTTATTAATTCAAAGTTCATGTCTCAATAAAAGCCAATGGTCAAACTACAGTACTCAGGAAATTTATCAGTTACGTTTTCAAAAGTCAGCCAACCTTTCTATCCTCGAAAAAGGATATGCAACTTTGTCGGCTATTGCACTTTCAAAACTTCTGCACGTGTCATGAGACCTTTGTGAACTCATATTCACACGTTATCCAGAAAATGTGTACCGAATTGCAGGCGACAGTTTTCCGATACTGTACTGACTTAATGCTAACGGTACATTTTTTTTGTGGATCTTCGGAGTCTCTAACTGAAGTTCCGAGCATCTGGAGCAACAACGCTTAACTTTATCGCTGGAAAATCTGAGAAATTTGAAAACTTCGTAAGAGGGATTATGTCTGAATTCAATTAATATATCAATGTATTTCTCAGATACTGAGTAAAAGACAATGAAATTAAGTTTGAAGCTCGAAGGTTTTTCCCCGAATGACTGAATGGCCCGGCGAACATGTTCAAAATGTTGTCAACCTTTTCGCTTCATTATTTTATGACAACCAAAATATCTTGTTTGCTAAAACCTTATGAATTTCTGGACGTGTCGTGACAAGTGAGACTTTGTTGAAGTCATTTATCAAAGTGTGACGGAAAACTTACAACGAATTTCCGGCGAAAGTGGGTCCGTAATGACCTCGAGAAATACTGAAGGTACTTCAAATAGTTTTTTTTTTGTCTTTCTTCAGAATTCCATATGACCGGAGAAGTTCTTGAGCCCTCGGCTCGGCAAAGCAAAACTTTGTCACCGGATCCCGAGAAAACGAGTCCCACTGAAAATAAAATCTCCACGCTATTCACCATGTACGAAGAATGCAAAAAATACCTGGAAACTTTGGAGCATCGCGTTTCGCGCGAATTATCTTCGCGGAAGGAAGGAAGCAGCAGCAGCTGGCAAATGAATCGTCGACACCAATCCTCGTCTTCGCCTTCAATCGACGGCGTGCATGTGACACATTCATTCACGGTGTTATCGGGGTCAGTGTCGAGTCGAGAGTCTTTGTGTGAGCGAGAAAGTCGCGAAGACGTGCTTCGTATGAATGGTTTCGAGTCTCCGGACACTAGCGAAATTTTTGTTCGACACTCGATTGAGTCATTGAGACCCGGGAAAACATTCGCAAAACCTGAATGGAAAGCCCATCAACAAGAAACTGAGTTGGATAAGTACAAAGACAGCATCAGCAGTGAATCATCCAAGCCTGGAATCAATTCAGTGTCACCATCCACGGTCCAATGTTCAGGTTTCAATAACAAGAAATTTCTCATTGCTCAAGAAGTCCCTTTTTTAGTCAAGTCTCGTCTCAGATATGGAAAAAATGAAAAAAAATCGTTTCACAGAGGCATTCGTAATTCGCTGAATGATTATAAGGACCCGATATTTCATTCTAAAACATTGCTTGAATTCAAGATTGCACTAGCTATATGCAGACCAAAGCATTTCCAGACGTGAAATTCTAGCTGCTTCTAGCAAACTATGATTATAAAAAAAAACTCGCGGCTAATCTTTTGAATGGTCCTGTTCATTTTAAATTACGGTAATTAACATAAATTATTCCCACCCCTAAGATTAATCGATGGTGCATCTTTATTTCTCGGGTATTGTCGCAATGTTTTCATTTTCATCGTTCAATCGTACAGTATTTTTTGTTGTTACATTTGAAAGACACTCGGCATAATTCTTTATTTTTGAAAATATCTACTACTGTCTAACTCAAATAAAATGTTGGTAATAAATCAAAATAGGCTGGGTTTCAGGGTGTATCAACTAAAAATCCCTGTTTTTTTTTTATATAGAAAAAAATATTATTTCAGGAATATCGTCATTATTTTACAAGTACTGTATTATTGTACTTCCTAAAACCGTGGATATAGCTCATCTTCAAGCTGAAAATATTGTTCAGGTGTTAGATCGATAAAATATTCCTTTGTACTTTTGATAGGTGAAGACGACCGAAAAAAATTACCAGGAAAACCAGTGCGTAATTTGATCAAGAGCGGCGTTAACGAGGATATTCACCATGTATCAGTTGACGATACTGCAGCGAAACTCGAGTCTTATCCATGTGCGCATCCGGAAAATTCTGAAGAGGCCACAACTGTGTCGCTGACTTTGAAAGACGATCCCAAGTCGGAAGTCTTGCCAAATCCTTCCATTAGGAATCCCCAGTGAGTCTTTTTTTTAAATATGTGTAGCATGTGATTATTAAGGCGTGATGGGTCTTGACTTGGTAATTTTTATTTCGGTATATAAGGCACCTTTCCGAAACTGGATTGTGAAGTAAGATCAGAACACGGTTTGTTTGCGGCTTAATCGTGCATAGCTGCAATTTTTCGGATCGGTATTTGCAATTTTTAGGACCGGTAGTTGCAGTATATTCAACATGGTTAAAATTTCAGATTGTAATGACGACTTTGCATCGAAGAAAATTATCGAATTTTTCTCAGCGGAATATCGAAACATAACTTCGAAATCGTCAAAAATTTCTACATAATCCAGGCAAGCTTTTCCAAGGTTAGATGAGGTTATGTCATGCGATGAGTGATCATGTGCTACATATGTATCATTATTTAATCGTTCATCTCTTAATTTTTTTTAATATTGAGAGTATTATCCCGCATCATTTGACATGCGGGATTTTTCGCAAGAGGAATTCGATAAAAGTTATGTGTATATCCAAGTTTTCCTGCTTATCACGTTCCCTAGCAAACTTGGCCTGATTTTTTTTAATGAAAGAGAATCATCGAAGAATGCGAGTATTACCTGCACACCTCAAAATTTTCAAATTTCGATGGTGACAACGTTGCAAAGAGGATTTTCTCTTCGTTGAATTTTTATTCCATGGAGAATGAAGCGTGTATTTCAAATTGAAAAACTTTTAATTAACTACATCTCAAAGAACTGCTGTATACTATGCCTGAAACCAGTGAATGATTTCAAGACATGACCTACATGACATGACATTAGTTGAGGAGTTTCCGGAAATATTCTACCCAAGGAGGAGTGGTCAGGTCTACGGAAATAATTTCAAAATTCTCGAATCTCCATAATTGAAGTAAAAGCTAAATTACCAGTGAAAACCCAGCAATGTAAATTTATGCGTCCAAGTTTAGATTTTCCTTGAAAAGAAAAAAGCGGCTTTATGTACGCATTCACCATAATTATACGTTGATCTGCTTTATTTTCCCCTTGATGATTATAAATATAACCTGGGATTAACATTTCATACAGTCATATGATCATAACTATTGCAGATGCTGGAATCTCTCTACAACGAAATTCTCTCTGAAACGAGCTTTTCTTGTCCCTTGGATTTCGTTGTAGAGAACCGTAAAATACTGAGAGAACCTCAGCATTATGATCACAAAAAATTCGTTATATGGAGAAGATCGTTGTATACATACACAATCGTTGGAGAGAGAGAGAGAGTCCACCATGCTTTTCTGGGTCAGTGGATAATCGGTCAGGTCATTTCGGGAATATTTAACGCCTCTAAAAGAATATTCCAGGAATGTTCGAATATTCATGATGCTTCATTTTTAACCAGAATCCTGGAAAGTATTATAATACAGTATTACTGTCATTTTCATTATGCTGGGGAACTCATCCAGGCATTTGGCTTGAATGATTAATCCTAATCTATTCATTTATTTATTCGGTATTTTTCTCAATTAAAACCTTCAAAAGTTAAGTTTTCAACTTTCCAGGCGAGTGATAGACGCTGAGCGAGTCATGCCACGAACCACGACGAGCCCAGACATGGACTCGGACCTGGACGAGTGGGACGACATCCAGTCCCTGCTGCTGACGGACAGCAGGAACAACCGACGGCGCCCTCATCCGTCCGGAATCATCAACAAAAACACCACCAGCAGCAACAGCAACGCCCTGACAGCCGCCTGCAAAGTGGACGTCAGCAGATCCGCGGGGCTCGAGCAGGATTTGCCAGTCCTCTTGGCCCAGCCCGGGATCCAGATCGTTAGCAAAAAGGATAGCGTTCCCGGGACGCCGTATTTTCTGCCGACTGCGTCCGCCCCGAGCATTGGCCCACTTTTGCAAAGCTTGCTGCACAATCCCGCGTGCGCCTTTTACTTCGATTCCGAGTGCGCTGATCACGTGCCCAAGGGATCCCTGTGCAGTTATCTCAGCGGGTTCAATAGGTTTGGATCCCTGAACATTTATTTTTTTTTCTTCTCCCGCCCCATGCTCTTCCCCCCCGAGGGTGTTTTTTTTCTCAATCAACGTCACTCACTTTCGAGCAGGCCGCAGAAGAGAACAAAGCGCGGTCGGTGGAGATTAGGGAATAATCCTGAAACTCGCGACTAATGATAGACCTCTACCACATCTCAATTCCGGATAAAGGAGGCATTGTTCTGCGTTGAGAGCGTGATGAGAACATAATGGATCGTGGTCTGCTTATAACATGAGGAAAGTTAAAGAGTGAAGTAAAGTCGAGCTGTTCAGAATTTTCAGCGTTTAATTGCAACAGAAGAGAGAGAGAGGCTTAATATTTTGCCTTTTCAACTCTGGACAAGATATGCATGCATCTGTCTGCAATTTTCTGAAACATCAATCAAGCCACATATTTTAAAACCTTATTTTGGTTCACTTTGAATGAACAAACAGAACACTTTATTTGCCGCTTTTCATCGTTCACAAGGTTCAATCAAGATTACCACAACCAAACCCCTTCACTTTTACATGGAAACTGCGGATCGTACTTCCTAAAGAGTGTTGTGAAAAAAAGTCATTGTATAAGCTCATGATTGTATACGAACGGTATATTCCTGAAAAAGAAATCACAGAACAGACAGGTTAAACGGACCTTGTCACCAACAGAATCGCTTGATGATTCACGTTATGATTTTAAAAATTCATTTTTACGCGAAGTTCAATAGAAAAAAGTATCCCAAATCGTATGTGATTTATCGAACATCAGACCGAAGAGTCTCAATCTCATTTAAAATTTAAAAAAAAAACGAAAGATTTGAACTGAAAACCAAAGATAACAAAACTTTCTCGAAAGTTTCACAGGTTTCGATCGAACATTTTATATTTTCCATGAGCTGGAAAAATGCAATTTCCAGCAGAGCCATGCGCGTTCAAAATCTTTGAGACAAGAAAAATTACGCGATTTAAAATCGGCAGAATTTCTGATAGTGCCATATATTTCACACATTTTTGAAATTGGTTTCGATTGAAGCCACGCAGCAGTGAAGAAACACACACACAAAAAAAAGAAATCTTCCTCAAGCTTTGATGCTTCTGAACTCTATGCTGTATACTCGTATATGTATGCTTACTTCACTGCAACAGGTTCGTGTGGGGCCATGAGAAACGGCTGGCGTTTTACCCGGAAAAATCGTCAAAAATTTCTACATAATCCAGGCAAGCTTTTCCAAGGTTAGATGAGGTTATGTCATGCGATGAGTGATCATGTGCTACATATGTATCATTATTTAATCGTTCATCTCTTAATTTTTTTTCAATATTGAGAGTATTATCCCGCATCAAAGTGCTTTTTTCGCACGAGGGGATTTTTCGCACGGGGAATTCGATAAAAGTTATGTGTATTTTCAAGTTTTCCTGCTCATCACGTTCCCTAGCAAACTTAACCTGATTTTTTTAATGAAAGAGAATCATCGAAGGATGCAAGGTATTGCATGATTACCTGCACAACTCAAAATTTTTAAATTTCGATGGTGACAAAGTTGCAAAGAGGATTTTCTCTTCGTTGACCTTATATTCCATGGAGAATGAAGCGTGGATTACAAATTGAAAAAATTGTTCCTCATTAACTACATATCAAAGAACTGCTGTATACTATGCCTGAAACCAGTGAATGATTTCAAGACATGACCTACATGACATGACATTAGTTGGGGAGTTTCCGGAAATATTCTACCCAAGGAGGAGTGGTCAGGTCTACGGAAATAATTTCAAAATTCTCGAATCTCCATAATTGAAGTAAAAGCTAAATTACCAGTGAAAATCCAGCAATGTAAATTTATGCGTCCAAGTTTAGATTTTCCTTGAAAAGAAAAATGCGGCTTTATGTACGCATTCACCATAATTATACGTTGATCTGCTTTATTTTCCCCTTGATGATAATAAATATAACCTGGGATTAACTTTTCATACAGTCATATGATCATAGCTATTGCAGATGCTGGAATCTCTCTACAACGAAATTCTCTCTGAAACGAGCTTTTCTTGTCCCTTGGATTTCGTTGTAGAGAACCGTAAAATATTAAGAGAACCTCAGCATTATGATCACAAAAAATTCGTTATGTGGAGAAGATCGTTGTATATATACACGATCGTTGGAGAGAGAGAGAGAGTCCACCATGCTTTTCTGGGTCAGTGGACAATCGGTCAGGTCATTTCGGGAATTTTTAACGCCTCTAATAGAAAATTCCAGGAATGTTCGAATATTCATGATGCTTCATTTTTAACCAGAATCCTGGAAAGTATTATAATACAGTATTAGTGCCATTTTCATTATGCTGGGGAACTCATCCAGGCATCGGCTCGAATGATTAATATTAATCTATTCATTTATTTATTCTGTATTTTTCTCAATTAAAACCTTCAAAAGTTAAGTTTTCAACTTTCCAGGCGAGTGATAGACGCTGAGCGAGTCATGCCACGAACCACGACGAGCCCAGACATGGACTCGGACCTGGACGAGTGGGAAGATTAGGGAATAATCCTGAAACTCGCGACTAATGATAGACCTCTACCACATCTCAATTCCGGATAAAGGAGGCATTGTTCTGCGTTGAGAGCGTGATGAGAACATAATGGATCGTGGTCTGCTTATAGCATGAGGAAAGTTTAAGAGTAAAGTAAAGTCGAGCAGTTCAGAATTTTCAGCGTTTAATTGCAACAGAAGAGAGAGGGAGGCTTAATATTTTGCCTTTTCAACTCTGGACTAGATATGCATGCATCTGTCTGCAATTTTCTGAATCAATCAAGCCACATATTTTAAAACCTTATTTCGGTTCACTTTGAATGAACAAACAGAACACTTTATTTGCCGCTTTTCATCGTTCACAAGGTTCAATCAAGATTTCCACCAGCAAACCCGTTCACTTTTACATGGAAACTGCGGATCGTACTTCCTAAAGAGTGTTGTAAAAGAAAGTCATTGTATATACTCATGATTGTATACGAACGGTATATTCCTGAAAAAGAAATCACTGAGCACAGACAGGTTAAACGGAACTTGTCACCAACAGAATCGCTTGATGATTCACGTTATGAATTTAAAAATTCATTTTTACGCGAAGTTCAATAAAAAAGTATCCTAAATCGTATATGTGATATATCGAACATCAGACCGAGGAGTCTCAATCTCATTTAAAATTGTAAAAAAACGAAAGATTTGAACTGAAAACCAAAGATAACAAAACTTTCTCGAAAGTTTCACAAGTTTCGATCGAACATTTTATATTTTCCATGAGCTAGAAAAATGCGATTTCCAGAAGAGCCATGCGCGTTCAAAATCTATAGGACAAGACAAATTACGCGATTTAAAATCGGCAAAATTTCTGATAACGCAGTAAATATCACAAATTTTTGAAATTGGATTCGATTGAAGCCACGCAGCAGTGAAGGCACACACACACACAAAAAAAAGAAATCTTCCTCAAGCTGTGATGCTTCTTAGCTCTATATGTATGCTCATCTCACTGCAACAGGTTCATTTCTTTCTTTTTTTTAACAACGAATCAATTCAGAATGTTTGTTCTTGAAAGTTTCTTAGATATAGTATTTCATATTTTTCGTGAGCTAGGAAATGCAATTTCCAGCAGAGCCATCCGCGTTCAAAATCTTAGAGACAAGAAAAATTACGCGATTTAAAATCGGCAAAGTTTTTGATAGCGCCGTATATTTCACACATTTTTGAAATTGGATTCGATTGAAGCCACGCAGCAGTGAAAAAAACACACACACAAAAAAAAAGAAATCTTCCTCAAGCTTTGATGCTTCTGAACTCTATGCTGTATACTCGTATATGTATGCTTACTTCACTGCAACAGGTTCGTGTGGGGCCATGAGAAACGGCTGGCGTTTTACCCGGAAAAGCTTCTGAATGCCCTGGACGCGCGTTCCGCGTCATCAACGTGGTCCCCCACGGAGTTGATGTGGAACTTGATGCAAGGCTGTGCGACGGATATTGCGGATTTCGAGTCCAAGCGGCTGCAAATCGGATTGGATCCCAGCGTACCCAGGTTCCGAACCCAATTCTTCGGGCAGGTCACTATCCGCGCTTCGTGTCCGGACTGCGATTTCCGCGTGGAGACGAAATCTGACGTATTGCAGAGGTATACCTATATACGAATGATGGAGCTGCGTCATTCAGGCTCCTTTTTGCTTCTTTTTTTTTGGCGCTGTATATATTTCTTTGTCATCATGTAGGCAGGAATCGAAAAATCGATCCCTTTCTATGATTTTGCCGTCACCTTCTGCACATATATAACCCCCTTTTTAGAGTCTTCCTATTTTGTACTGTATGAGCTTGACTTTATTCTCGAGGGCGCAACTGTCAATCCCTATAGTTGGACTGGGATCAATGGTAAAAGGTTTTCTTTTTCCTGAAGAGTTTCGTATAAAATCTGTATACAATTATAGTTGCTGGTCGATCTCATTGATGCCATGCGACTCCAATAAATAATGTGCAATATAGTTGGACTGGGATCAATGGTAAAAGGTTTTCTTTTTCCTGAAGAGTTTCGTATAAAATCTGTATACAATTATAGTTGCTGGTCGATCTCATTGATGCCATGCGACTCCAATAAATAATGTGCAACAGAATCTTTTTTTGTGATTTTTATGAGCAAAATTCCAAGAACAACGCGGGCCTCGAAATGCAGATTTAATTGATTTTCATCTTAGGAAAATAATGGAGAAGTCCTCTCAATAATTATTCCTTTTCTTGTCTTTCATATTGACGAAAAAAAAACTGCAAGGAATCTGACCTGTTGCCATAAAAATGAGTACAGATTGCAAAAATACAAGCACTTATATCTGTAGGTTGTAAGCAACTGATGATGGGAAAACTGCTGAAAAGAGAAGCACACAACATGACCTTGGTTTTGTTAATAAATTGGAGTTGATTTATATACGAATTATTTTGTCTTCGTTTCTATTGTTTACTTGAACCTCGATCAATGGAACCTCCCTAAGTCGAAGTTTTTTTCAAGTCCTCGTCGTCTGAATTTCATTAAACAATTCATTGAAAGCCGCTTTAACTTGGAGGCTTTTCTTCTGAAACCTCCGTAACTCGAATTTTCTTATACCTTTTAGCTGTTATTTTCTTGACATAGGTAAGAGAAAAGTAATGGAAAAGGTAACTGGGGATGTGATTCAAAGGAAGCGAAAGACTACTTGGGAAGAATAATCCCTGCCTTCAAGTTCTTCATTCTGTTAACTCATTTAAGACTCGAGTTAAGGTCTCTAGAATATCACCGTTTACAATTTCTCGAAAAAAAATTTTTAAACAAATTTGCTGATTTCCCCAACTCGAAATCTCCCGCACTCGAATTTTTTCGCTGGTCTCTTGAAATACGACTCGGAGATATTTGACAGTTGTACCCGAAATAGTTCGAGTATTTTAGCTAATACTGTACATGCACTGGACAACTATAGCAGTGTCCTCTACACACATCGAGGCACTTGTTGGCGTCGCAAAATTCCTGAGATAGATTCCTTCTTTCTATCTCTCTCTCTCGCGAAATGCTTGCTCTTATTTTCTGCTTCCTCTTCCTGCTCAACACATTCCTGAAGCAGTCTAGTGGAAGCGAAAAGGTTTACGCATTTCTCTCCGTATATTCCCCCGGATGTTCCCCTCCCCCTCCCGGGCAGGTCACATCCGGATTTCTACTCTGACCCGGCAGTGTGGGCGGAGAAGGTCAGGAGTGACCTGCAGTCGACGCTTTCCTCGCCGCCGCCGGGGGCGACCAAGAATCTCTGCGACCACCGGCGACTCCACATCGCCGCGGGGGAATGCGAACCCCCGGCCTGTCTCTGCGTTGACATCCCGCCGGGTTGCACTGCGACCTCGGTGCCCATGGTGCTGGAGTTTCCGGCTGCGGGCTCGGGTCCGAACCAGCAACCGGAGACCTATGACCTAATCAGCGTTATGTATGGCAAGAAGATCAACGCCTCTCAGCCAACGACGGTAAGTCAATGTCGTCGCTTATATTCGTCCCTCGGCCTGTTTCCATCAATCATGACCTGCTATGTACATACGTACAGTATATACTGTACATGATGGTGAATATACATACTGTATTATAACGCCCCTCGTCGTATATTCCGCTCCTGAACTTGAAACCGTCACGGATATGAATGGTGCACCTGTATACAGTATACAAGTTTGTGTCTTCCAAAGTACTAAAGGCATGCGCATCCTTGTTTCTTTTATTGCGAATAACGAGAAAACCCGAATGCCGTATTCTTTTCTGCAAGGTATGCAAGCACAAAGAGCTCAGAAGCGGAAGCCAGAGATGATGAAAAGTTTTAACGAAGAAGCAAATGTATCACCGAAGGCTGCCAATGACATCTTGTGTCATTAAAAAAAGAGCAATAGGGACTAGTCAACTTTTCTTTCTTTACTCATGTTATAGTATTTTCAAAGCAGCCATCGTCACAAGAACGCTAAAATAGGTGTGTGTTCAGGGATTAATTTTCTCCTGCTTGATCTTCAAGAAGTTGTTGACCTGGTTTTGCTAAGACTGAGGCAATCCACTGTCAACCTGACCTGAGTGATGTACTTTACAGTATAACATGTGTAAATATGTTTTCTTCTTTAATCGAGCACAGTAACTGTTCGAAAAATCAAACTTGGCGGCCACTTAAAAAATCCGCTCAAATGTTTGAGTTCGTCAACACCTAAAATTTGACAGAGGATCCTTCATGCAGCACAGTATTCGAGTGTTTTAATTGATTTGTCCGTGCGGAAATGTTCAAAGAATTCTTAAAAAAAATAAACGAAGCCAACTGTTGCATCGGAAGGCATGGAAAAACATCCCCAACTAGTTAACTTAATCAAATTTAAAAGTAGCTGCATGAAAAGTTTCAAGCGAACAATTTTCTGAATCATGAAAAATTTTTGAAAATTTTAGAACCTTATAAAATCGGCTGTTGTTGCGGTTTCTGCCATTAAAAAGTTGCAGTTCGTGTAAAGTACCCTGTTTTTAGAAGCCCTAATCACTTAGATAACAGAAAAAGGTTTGCTTTAGTTTTTAAAATACAGTAAAACAAAATTTCAACTTGGTTCGATATTTTCAAATTTTTACCATAAACATGAACAAATGTTCTATGTATTTTGGAAATGCAGGCATAATTTGTCTCTCAAAATTTCTATGCACGATTTTTTCATGATCCCAGAGGACTAGAATAGAGACTTCGAAATTCTTGGCAAAAATAATTGTTTTTTCGCTCCCTGAGTATAATTTATAGAAAGGCAACGTGCATCTTACTTTTCTTCAACCAGACACTTTTTTTTAGTCGACATTTATTAAGTTACCCCGTCAAAATATTTTTCCTTCGAGAAAGCCAGCATATAGGAGAAAAAAATCCCGAATATGGCCCATCCGTTCCCTGCATCATTCAACAGTACCTTGAGAAGTTACGTAATCTATTTCCTGGTGGACCAGGCGTGCTTATAACGAAAATCCGTCGTATAACTACATCCACGGCTTCGATTTGCTTGGAAAGCCATTGAGGCCAATGTGGTGAAATGACCCACAAATAAATCGGTAGCAGGTGCACGAAAAGAAAAAGTACGACACCCTATCAAGATACGGGGCGATTAGTCGTGATTGATGGACCTTTTACGGCAGCTCGGGTTACTGATGTTCTGGCGGACCGCGAATGGTTCCATTATATTGTCACACACCCCGAGGAATGATGAATTTTTTTCTGGACAGCTGCTCCACGCCTGTCGCACTTGTGANTACGTACAGTACAGTATATACTGTACATGATGGTAAATATACATACTGTATTATAACGCCCCTCGTCGTATATTCCGCTCCTGAACTTGAAACCGTCACGGATATGAATGGTGCACCTGTATACAGTATACAAGTTTGTGTCTTCCAAAGTACTAAAGGCATGCGCATCCTTGTTTCTGTTATTGCGAATAACGCGAAAACCCGAATGCCGTATTCTTTTCTGCAAGGTATGCAAGCACAAAGAGCTCAGAAGCGAAAGCCAGCGATGATGAAAAGTTTTAACGAAGAAGCAAATGTATCACCGAAGGCTGTCAGTGACATCTAGTGTCATTAAAAAAATAGCAATAGGGACTAGTCAACTTTTATTTCTTTACTCATATTATACAGTTCAGTATTTTCAAAGCAGCCATCGTCACAAGAACGCTAAAATAGGTGTGTTCAGGGATTAATTTTCTCCTGCTTGATCTTCAAGAAGTTGTTGACCTGGTTTTGCGAAGACAGACAATCCACTGTCAACCTGACCTGAGTAAAGTACTTTACAGTATAACGTGTGTAAATATGTTTTCTTCTTTAATCAAGCACAGTAACTGCTCTAAAAATCAAACTGCGCGACCACTTGAAAAAATCCGCTCAAAAGTTCTAGTTTCCTCACAAAAGTCTCATCCGAATTCGTCAACACCTAAAATTTGACAGAGGATCCTTCATACAGCACAGTATTTGAATATGTTGTAAATGAATTGTCCGTGCGGAAATGTTCAAAGAATTCTTGAAAAAAATAAACGAAGCCAACTGTTGCATCGGAAGGCATGGAAAAACATTCCCAACTAGTTAACTTAATCAAATTTAAAAGTAGCTGCATGAAAAGTTTCAAGCGAACAATTTTCTGAATCATGAAAAAATTTTGAAAATTTTAGAACTTTATAAAATCGGCTGTTGTTGCGGTTTCTGCCATTAAAAAGTTGCAGTTCATGTAAAGTACCCTATTTTTAGAAGCCCTAATCACTTGGATAACAGAAAAAGGTTTGCTTTAGCTTTTAAAATACAGTAAAACAAAATTTCAACTTGGTGCGATATTTTCAAATTTTTACCATAAACTTGAACACATGTTCGATATATTTTCTGCAGGCATAAGTTGTCTCTTGAAATTTCTATGCGCGATTTTTTATGATCCCAGAAGACTACATATAGACCACGAAATTCTTGGCAAAAATAGTTTTCTCGCTCCCTGAGTATAATTTGTAGAAATGCAACTTGCATCTTATTTGTCCTGAACCAGACACGTTTTTTTAGTCGACATTTATTAAGTTACCCCGTCAAAATATTTTTCCTTCGAGAAAGCCAGCATATATAGGAGAAAAAAAAATCCCGAATATGGAGCATCCAAAGGGACGTAGTAAGTTGTCATGGAACTCTTCAATGCATTAGATAAAGGACCACCTGGTCCGCACGAATATTGCTTTTAGGCAGCATATTGATGTAGGTGCCGAAGCTAAACGAACCTTTCGGTAACAGGCCAATGTGGTGAAATGACCCACAAATAAATCGGTAGCAGGTGCACGAAAAGAAAAAGTACGACACCCTATCAAGATACGGGGCGATTAGTCGTGATTGATGGACCTTTTACGGCAGCTCGGGTTACTGATGTTCTGGCGGACCGCGAATGGTTCCATTATATTGTCACACACCCCGAGGAATGATGAATTTTTTTCTGGACAGCTGCTCCACGCCTGTCGCACTTGTGAGAGGAAAAAAAAAAAAGGTAGAGGGATTATGTTGTAAATGAAATCATTTTTCTCCGCATTGGCGCAAGATTATTTCGATTCATTTCCAAATCTGAGGAATCTGATGGAGGCTTTCGCCTTCGGACTTGGGGTGGCTCCAAATGGTTGTCGTTGTCCAGTTGAAGGGAAAATGGCCGTGATAATGTCAAACTTGCGTCCTCGTTTGCACTCTGATATTAAAGAAAAACTGCCGCTTTTTTGTCATTAGGAATTGGTTACGAGCAATCAGATGAACCGTGGGAAATTTATCGCCACTGCTTCTGTGCGAAACTGATCCGTTTTTGGTTGAAATGTTTTTTTATAATTTTATAAATACGCTTGAAGTACGTCGCAGCATTCAGTTTTATCCTAGACGCCTTATGTTTTGAACAAAAACTCGAAGGTACTTCGTTGATTCATTAAAACTAGCGAGATGTCAGGTTATTTTTAATTATCCCTCAATTTACATTCACACAGTCGACAGATTTGAGCTGAGTTACGACGTGAATTCGAGAGAAACTAGAAGATTCCATCAATTTTTTTAAATCGACGGATCACTTCATTTCCGAAGAAAATTGTAATTCTACTTTCAAATTCAACCTCAAAATTAAAGTTCGTTCGCGTCTAGCTTTTTCTTGAAGCGTGTTCACTTGAGGCATGGTCTCGGAATAAGCTCTTACCTTAGGAATATTTTTTTGCCCGGAGAAATTTAAACCGATGAAGTGGAAAAGGTGAGGCTTGAAATTGTATATTGTGCTATATTTGAATTTTCACTTGCCGGTCTTGGAATAATGAAACCTATAATTGTAACGAGAGGTGTTCATCCCTGAACTCATCCGCCAATGATGTAGGTAAGAGATTCTGGGAAAGTGTCCCAAAAGGTTATTGAGAATTTGAGATTTATTGCGTATCTGCCCGTATATAAGCATGATTAAATGTACTTTTTTTAAATAATCTATGTGAGAACTTTGCTGACTTCATTTTAATTTCCCCAGAAACCTGTGTTCAGGTCAACCTAATTTTTGATGAACTTTCGTAATCAAGCCGTAGAATCTCAGAATATTCCGACACCCTGCTAAACATGGAAAACAAACCCTATTCGGGGGGAGGGATAACATTTTTTAAAAATTAATCTAAGCGATATTCTTTTATTTTATAATGTCGGGAATTCGACTGATACAACTTGAAATATTTTAATGTCTATTCAACCTCTGTAATTGATCCGTTTCCGCGCAGAATTTGCTGGCGTCCTGGCTGTGAGTTTCGCCGACACGTAAGTCCGTAAACTTTGTCGGCTCGTCCACCAAAATGCAGTTCCTGCTGGTTCACAAACTCTAAGAAGTGTTGAGACGACGGCTTAACAGCGCCTTTGAGCCGTCTCGCGGCATAAAACGCGAAGTAATGCAGCGCTTTTCAACCGGTCTTGCGCTCCGCTTTTAGTCTGTGGCTGAGGCACTGCAACTTCTTTCGGCTCCGGAGCACTACTTTTTCACTTTGACACGGTTAAAACAAAAACCCTTTACTAGATGGATTATACAATTTGCGGTTCTCTATCTGTCCTCATCGTGCTTTTCTTTGTGTGTTGCCTTTTGTTTTCGCGGAGTTGTTCGCTGTTTTATTGATGAGTTTCCGGACGCGTGGTTCATTGCAGCTCTCGTTTTACTTCTAAATCCGATGACGCAAGAAATATGTTGATATATACATTTGTTGATGTTTGTGTGCGTGGTTTTTTTAGAAACATGACACCTACGAGGGTTGGCTCATAAGGTTTGACATTTTTCGAAATAGATCCAACGGAATAATTTCATCAATTCATTTTTTTACTCGCATATCCCCATTATTTGGAAACAAAACAGTGCTGTTAAACATACTCTCCGCCGATTTTAATGCATTTTCCATGCGATAAAGCCAAAAATCGAAACTGTGCCATTATCGAGTTCTTTTGGTTGATTAGGCAGCTCATCGACGTCGGAATTAAGGCGGTCAACTAACAGAACCCGATCTTGGCACTGTTTTGATCTTTGGATTCATAGCATGAAAAAAAGCATAGAAATCGGCAGAAATAATTTTTGAACAGCCCTGAAGTGTGGCCAAATGATGGACCCCTGCAAATAAAAAAAGTTTTTGGAATTGTTGACACTCCGCTGAATCTATTTAAAAAAGTCTTAAAACTCAAGAACCAACGATCGTCTTTTTCTTCCCGGTATATTCCCTAAATGAAACATGCGTCGGCACTGAAACAGGAACATGCTCCTTTTATTTGTCTCGAAGGAGCAACGAACAGTCTCTTTCAAGAACATCAATCACAGAGCATCCCAAGGAGGAAATCAAAAGGTATCCACCAATCAGATAATAAACCGCGTCTCGTCGCAATGAATCATCTCGTCTTGTTTTCCTTGGTACAAGCAACCACATTAATGCTATTGGCACCACGATGAACCCGAATCAGTGACTGCATCGAGCATC